TGGGTTTTTCTTCTTAGTTGTGTACTTCCCATAAAAGTGGAAAGGGGTGTTAGGCCTTACACCTTAACTGCAACTTTGAACACCTTTTACATACTGCTGTAGCGAGAAGAACTAAACGATTTACACTTTTTTATATGACATTGATTACCTATTCCCTTCATATTTTGTTTTTGCCAATGGTTAGTAATGTTTTACATTTTTACTTCCTCTAAACAAATACGAACAATGAAATACACTGGTCGTGTAGAAGTAATAATGACTGGGAACACAAAAAATAAGCCGTGTAGAGACACACTATTTGCTGGGTATAGGGGAGGCTGAATTTTCACTGGGTAGACTTAAATAAACCACTGGGTAGGGTTTCACTTGGTCTATTACAGACGGGTGTTGCAATGGTGTATAGGGGTGATAGTTATGAGGGATCACTCATCGTTTCTGGGCAACGTATCGTAAAGTACTCGATAAAAATCGTCTCGATTTTAAGGCCTCTCGATTACGTATTCCCCAGTCCAACAGAAAACGTGAAATCGAGACTCGTTCCCACCTGTCTCGATGACTCGTTTCAGAAACGAGACACGTTAAAACTGGGCCTAAAACGTTCTCGAAAACGTAGGGCAAAAAACGAGCCTCGATTTTTCTCCAAAACGTAGGGCCCAAAACGTGACTCGATTTTTCGTGTTCGTAGAGACTTGTTCAAAAACTAACTCTGAGGGATTACACCATTAGAAAGGTATTTGCCGGGAGAGGGTAAATTCCCAAAAAATTAATTTATGTCCCAAAAATATCCTCTGAAAAAAATAACCATGCACTGGCTTCAAAATATCAGAAAAGGGAAATAATGTGATACCTTTTTTACTTGTAAGGGCAATGGCAAAGAAAGGATTGAGTGTAGATAAGATTTCTGGGGTCTTCTGGGGTAATTCCCATAACTTTTACATGGTTCGGGCAATTCCACTGGGGAATCGTCAGATTAACCATTGTGAGGTGATTCAAATTTTCAGAGAACTCTTTTAAATTTCAGCAGGTCGTTCTTTACTATGTGAAAGTTAATAGTCATATTTATATTTTCAAGATTTTTGAAAAAATGTTTGTTTTTTGCAAAAGGTAGGCACCCCTAGATAGAAAAGGTTAAAGATGGAAAATAAGATTGAAAAGACGCCAGCAAATAATTACGACAACAACATTTTTGATAAGAAAGAGAAAAATTCTATTTGCATTTCAACTGAGGATAACATTAAAGGTTCTCACACAAATCAACTTAGCCAGCGGCCATACAAAAGAGGGGAAAAATAAGGAACAATTGATAATACTAACAAAAAAATCATTTGTTGAAGCTTTTATCTTAACTATTGTATAGCCGCTCAATCATTATGGGATGGTGTGACTTCGACTAATGGTAACCACTCAATAAATAAAGTTGATAATTAAAAAAAAATCACACTGCTCTATTAACACCTGACTCTAATCAATTATTATTCTTAATGATATTAACAGCGCTCATCAAATCTGTTTTTGATTTTCTATGCAATGTTCTTTTGGAAATATATTTTTGTATTCGGGCTTTAACGAAGCACTTGACTAATGAAACAGAAAAATATAATGATTTGATATTACTATTCTACTTTTAAACCTATAACGAGGGTAGCCTGAGTATCAGGCCATCCTTATGGGCTACCGGAGAGGAGATTTTAGCTCTCTCCTTGTTCGCTTCTCTCTTCCCCCTTCTCACTCAGAAACGCCTGATACTCAAGCTATAACAAGAGAGGCCAAAAACGTCACGTGCAACCAAGGGCTAATTCAGTTGCCTTTTTAAAAAAGGCGCATGTTCACCCGTGCGGCTTTGCTCGCCCTATACTACAGAAAAATAATTTGGCGAAGTTGAAAGTTTCGCCCTTCAGTGTGTGTAGAGTGACGCTTCGGCCATGCGTGAAAAAAACGAACACTCTGCCCAATCAAAACACCTTCTGAATTTGACAAAGAAAGGGTTTCAAAACAAAAACACCCGCTCACAAAGTCACGTTGGTGAACATGGGCATTTAAGAGCTAAATAGTTTACTCCTTTATATACATTTATGAAGGAAGATAAGCAAAATCAACTCTGTTATGAGCAATCCAAACCGTTTCACCATGGACACGCTCATGTGAGCTTTTGGTTTTATTTTTAATCTTAGAGGCTCGGAACATTTTAAGCAAATTTAATTCCACTTTCATCTGTTAAATACACAATATCAAAGACTTCCCTCTTTGTAGCCAATATTAGCTCTACTCATGCATCTTGAGTACTAGAAATAAGAATAAAAATAGTAAATCTTATAGCGTTGTTTTCACATGTTAAGAAAATACCCAGGGATCATCCCAGTCTTACTTCTTGGTTTAATTATAACTTTATCTTTAATGTAGGAAAAATAACTAAGGATTTTTGTCATTTTCTTTTTTTTCTTCTTTTCCCGCGAAGCAGTCGTCCTTTTATCTTTTCTTTTTCTTTTTTTCTTTTGCGCCACTTCCGCAGTCTCCTCTTCCCCAGCCTCCTCTTCTGGGTCCTCCTTTTCATCTGTCAATGAAAATAACCACCCTTTAATCTTTAATTTCCTAAAATGATCCGCTTCTTGATAAATCAGGTGGCGCATCTCAAACTAGAATCATTTGCGGTGCACCTGCGCCTGGCTTCCCTCCCACGAAAACGTACTTAGGGTTTTGTCACGCGTTTCTCTGCCATGAACATCTCATCCGTTAGCGCAGCCACTTCCGTTCTCCGAAACGTACCAGTCACGGGCCGTATCTAATTTTTTTTTCAATGGGACTTTTACGATGACATTGTCGTTTACATTTAAAAACAAAATTAACCAAAAAACTTCAGATTGAGTCACTTTGCCTATCCATGTGTTTTGCAGCTGGTGATTAGCTCTGTGTGATGCAACAAGTTGACGTTCAGTGGTTTTTTGGACGAGTATTCATTAGCGGGGGAGAAGCGAGGGAACCAGCCCTTACGACGTCTGCGTGCAAGGCTAACCTGTGCCGAGTTTCGCGGAGGCACTGCGATTGACACATATTTATAGTGTTAAACTTCAGTTGTAATTGGCTTTTTTTTTCCCCAAGACACCGTATCCATTTGTTTGTAATTTTAGAATACTATGCAGTCATAGGCGAATGATTTCAGGATGATATAACTTATTCTTGAATAGTTGAAATTGTTTTCGATTTAAGATGATTTAATTAAAAAAAAAAGAAAAAAAGAAACGAACTACCACATTAAATCTAGGATGAACATAGGCCTTCAACTGACACCAGAAGTAAAGTATGTTACGTCCTAATTGTGTTTTCTTGTGCCAAATGTTAGTTTATTATTGATAATACAGTAAGTATCCTTACCTTCTATAGTATCTGACAGGTCTTTACTCCTGTATGGAAAGCTTCCCTTGCAAGACACCTGAAAAAAAAGAAAAAAAAGAAAGGGAAGTATTCTCCCCACGAAAGTACAACGAACATGTCCGTCTGTGGGACAACTGTTGTCGTTCGTGGGTAGAATACTTCCCAGAAATGCCAAATAGTGGGCCAAACAACTTACTAGCGGTGCCTTAAATTCCACCTAAGTCTTGACCCTAAGATAGTTACAGTTCGTTACCGAAAATAGGACAAGGGTCTATTCGTATTCACTTCCCACGGCTTGTTACATTTTATATTTGGAACTCTGTTGTCTGGGTTGAACTTCTCAAGAGCCTGGTCCCAAGTGTCCTGGCTCACGAAGAGCCTGGTCCCAAGTGTCCTGGCTCAATTAAGAAGTCTGTTGTCTGGGTTGAACTTCTCAAGAGCCTGGTCCCAAGTGTCCCGGCTCACGAAGAGCCTGGTCCCAAGTGTCCTGGCTCAATTAAGTAGTCGGTTGTCTTGGTTGAACTTCTCAAGAGCCTGGTCCCAAGTGTCCTGGCTCACGCGGAGCCTGGTCCCAAGTGTCCTGGCTCCATTAAGAAGTCGGTTGTCTGGGTTGAACTTCTCAAGAACCTGGTCCCAAGTGTCGTGGTTTGATGGAGAAGTCTGTTTCAAGTCTGTCATTTGGGTAAAAGTTTCTAAGAACATTGGGGTCCTACCCGTCCTGACTCAGTTACAGAGATTTCGTTTGTCATGGGGGATTTCTTTTCTTTTTCCCTTGTCCCTTTTTTGTTGTTCTTTGTTTTCAGTCAATTGTTCTTTGTGGGATACAGTTCCCGTTTTCTTGTTCAAATTTCAAATGGGCTTTTCTTTATTTTTAAGATAGAACCGCTTACAATTTTATCCTGGTCCTGTATCGTTGGCCCTTACTTTATCTCGGAAATTGACACTACTACGTTTGTATTCCTAACTGTCTTTACTCTATAGGTGTAGACAAAACCTCTGTTCAACAATGCGTAAAATCTGCCTCTGTCTACCTTTGTATTATAAAGATCGTTTTCATTGCTTTTTATATTTACTGTGCTTTTGATGTCGACAGAACACGATACATTCTAAATTTACGAATTATGCACGGATTATGCATGGTTCAATTCTACCTGTTACCACCCCTCCGGACACATTCCCGGGCCGGATTCTGCAGCTTTCCCCTAACATGGTGGTCTATTGGTTACAGGTAGAATCGAACCATACATTATTGTGTTCTTTCTAACCTCAGAGGGAAAAGATGAAGTCACTTCCTCCTCGTCCTGTGTGGAAAAATTGGGAGAACAATCATCAAAAAAAGTTCGTATACGTCACAGTTATATTTTTTATGCTTTTGAATCTTACAGCGTCATATTGGAATTGCACGTTTTGCTGTTTAGCCGCCTGTCTCGACATTGCATTTCAGTGGTTTCCCATGTTTGACCTAAAAAATATTTTATGTTCGTTTATCCGCCTCATATTATTCCTGAGAGAGAGATTGAGATTGCTTCCCACATGAATAAGGTGCTTGATTATCGCAAAAATCACCAATTCGGCTTTTCACAAAATCGAGGCTCAGTTATTTGACCATAAAATAACTCCGTCAGTTTAGAGATGAGGCTACACAAAATTCGGCCTCCACTTACTCTTTCCGTGAGGTCCAGAGACTCGTCCAAAGGGCCAACCCTCTCGTCGTGGGTCAGTAACGTTTGACCCCGGTGTAACGTAAAATATAAGGGCATATCTTGCATAGCACCAGCCCAGTCATATACCTCCTGTCATAAAATTATAAGAAATCCATAATTTGTGGAAACATTAAACACGCGGCGAAAGACTGTGAAGACTAAATGAATGTTGGTGGTGTTATTCTGTGGAGCTGAGGACTTTATTTCTGGGATTTTAGTTGGTCATAATGTTTAAGAAGACGTAATGAAACCGTTTTCTAATCTTTTGCAAACTGGAGTCTTAGGCCCTGGATTCACTGGCGATGCAAGTACAAGCGCAAGCATAAGAGCGCAGTTAACCACAGGACTCTTGTGTCAGTGAACACAAACGCACACGGTAGCATAAATGGGAATGCGTAGAGCCGTTTTCACGGTGAAATAAGAGCACTCGTGCTTGTTCGTGCTTGCGCTTGTGCTTACCGTAATGCCATCGAGAAGTAGCTTTAAACATGTTTTCGAACAAACAATATTGCCGTCACTCCATCGCGTTTTAAACAAACAAAACCGTTCAAATCTATATCATGAAAAGCAAACATAAACCTTTTCTCAAATCCATCTTACGAACAGCAGAAACCGAACAGAACATAAATTAATGATATCCTCGTATTATCACGGAGCGAGCCTTAAATTAACTTACAGTTCTAATAAAACCTGGAAACGTAATGTTGCGTCTTACCTGGAATTGAGCTCCATTTCTGAATTTCCTCGACCTGGTTCCCAAGTTTGTTCTAAGGCGTATATGGACGCCCCTTTCTGGCTCGTCGGATACTCTTACCTTCCTCGCCTCTCTTATCCGTCTCTGCTAATGATAATCAACAAGAGAGTTCACGTTTACTTCATTGTCAACTCTTATTGTGTAACCCAAGTCATATTTATAAGGAAGACTTGCCTCGCTGGGTCTCGCTTTTCCGATGGTGGGGTCACCCTTACAGCCGGGCCAACTTTTCTCCTTTTTATAAACTCTTTATCTCGCCCTGTTGTTACAACTCTGACAAAGCGAGACTATCAGAGCACGCCCGAGCGCTGTTGTCATTGGCAAAACTGGGAAGGCAGCTCTCGGCTCGGGTAAAGAGGTCGACATATTTCTCATATAAACGCTCGCCAAAGTTGCCTCGGCTGGGAGGGTGGCCCTCTTACCCGGGACAACGTTTCTTCTTATAAAAGTGTCAGATCAGACTCGGACGCGGCGTAGACAGATAATGCGTAATTGATATTAGGTAGAACTATTGTATTAAAGAGAAGGTCTATTTCTGACTTATTGTAGGGATTTGTTAGCTTTAATAAGTTTGTTCTTTACGTGCACTGAAAATTTGCTGTCACATCGGAACGTGACGCCCAAAAGCTATACTTCTTTACAGCTTGGTATCATCCCGATAGGTGAATAGAGATCGCGGTTGCCTCTCTTTTTGAACGTCAACTCTTTACATTTGCTTGGATTGGATCGGATTAGCCTACATCCTTCCATACAGGAGCAATAATTGTCGAATCATCAGCGTACTTAAATAGAGCGTCTTGATTACCTAAAGTGATGTTAAGATCATTGAGAAAGATGTTAAAAAGGTAAGGACTACTAACGCTACCTCGAGTTGCCCCTTTGTTAACCGGTTTCCAGTCACACTCAAAGTTGTTGCAACATACCCTTTGTTTTCTATCGTTTAAAAAGTTCAAGTAACAAATGGTAATATATGGATTCGGTGGGAGCTTTTTTAATCTGGTAGCAAGAAGTTCATGTATCATACAGTTAAAAGCTTTACTGAAGTTCATTGTAATGAGGCGAACTGCTTTACTATCCGGGTTAATGTTATCCAAGTAGCTGTTGATCCTATGTTGAATTGACAAGAGAGCATCGGTGCAATAATTAAAAGCTCAATGTTAGCTGTAACTCTCACCAACATATATAATTCTATATTTATAATGGTAATTGAACTGAGTGGAGTGCAATTTGGTCTGAAATCATACGCGTGATTTCGAAATCGAACGAGCGCGCAGCGCGAGTTCGATTTGAAATCACAAGTATGATTTCAGACCAAAATTGCACGACACGAAGTTCAATTACCACTTTATTACATCCATTTTGAAATCACTCATTTTTTTTAAATCTGCATTTATTGGAATTTATTGGTCCAAAAGGCTGGTTCGTAAAAAGCGGAACCGGAAACGCGTTTACATGTACTTGCCATGTCAACAAAACAAAATGACAGATGTCACTTTACAAAAAACCCATTGGAGCGCAAAAACTTCATTCGTGCAAATGTTCAAGCAGTTCTAAAATCTTGTCGCTGCAAAAATAGTCTTCTTCAAAGTTTAATCCTCGTCGTCTGACTCAATAATATAAGCCCTTCGCTTCTTCTGCGGTTGTGGCTGAGGCATCGCGTTTTCTTGGGAGAAAAAATTGAAAGTACAGCCGGTGTAATTCTGCGATGAAGCAGCAGTATTACCAGCACACGTCAACGCTGCCATGCGGTACTGAAACTGTGAGGGACAACTTGGCGGAAATCCTGCTAAACCAGCAGCCTGAAAATCAGGATTCAGGAATTCTATGGCCTGGTGCATTTGACCTTGCTGTTGGGCGCGATTAATAGGAACCAGTGGTGCTCGTTGGTGTAGGACTGGCTGTTGGACTGTGTTTTGAATTGTTGGTGCCTTTGCAGCTGTACTGTTTTGATTGGAAACGTCGTTGGGACCGTTTTCATTTGGCACTACTTTAAATCCGCTAATTATGTGAGACAGTTCTTTCCGTTGATTCTCGTCTATTTCGTCGTAGTCGTCCAACGAAGATTCACGTGCATGGCCTGTTATTTCACAAATAACGTTGCGCGGCTGACCAGACTTTTTCAATTTGGACACCAACGTTTTTCTCATGCTGTGGTTGGTCAGTTTTTTGTTCGTCTTAAGACAGGAGGCCATGGATTTCATGATGTTGCCGATGGTATTTTCGCCCATTCTAATTTTGGTGTACCAGATATCATTTGATTTGGGACGATTTATAACGCTCAGGTACAGTGGCCCTTTATCTTTCATTCCGTCGGGTCGCTTGGATAACCAAAGCTTGAAAAGGCGCACTGGATCAGTTTTTCCGCCATCGGTGGAATACATAGCTTGTGGTGTTGTTCTTCGCGATATTGTTAGACCACCGCTTCGTGTTTTAGTGGGACCTTCACGGAATTCTACAACTTCGCTGCCGTCTTCTTGTTGTCTTATAACGAAGTCCTCTACGTAGGCGTCATAGTGCTCCTGGCGACCTCTGAATCCAAGTTGCTCAGTCAAGTTTTTGAAGTTAACATTGGTCAAGACTTTTCCGTTAAAATCACCAAGCTGACCTTTTAGCCAGAGGGAAGACTCTTCCTCCGAAGTGAGAGGCTGAGATTTGTTTGGTCTTTTCCCCTTTCCTTGTTGTCGCAGAGAAATTGCCTTCGCGTGGAGGATTTCTTGTGAGTTGTGAAACTCCCTCGATCGTACGATGCTCAGCGGATAATTCTTCTCCTTTAAATACCTTTCAATGGCACTCTGCATGATTTTAAGGGATTCCGGCTCGTAATCATCTCCGTCCCTTTTTTTTACTTCGGCGTAGAACTTGCTCAGGATGTTGTCAAGCTCTTCCGGCGCCATTGTTTCTATGTTTACATTTTCTAGATGACGAGACTGGCACCAACTTTTGAATACATTCATCCACTGTTTTGTCGAGCGGGAGGTATTTTTGTTGACGGCAACAGCCTTGAGCTCTTCAATTTCTTCGCTTGAGATTTCAGGGAACCTTGTAGAATCTACATTTTGTACTTTCTGAGTTGGCTCTGGATTTGTCTCTTTGTTGCTGGACTCGGGATCGCACGCATCCGGAGCGGATGTGGAGGAAAAATTATCAAAATATTCGTCAAACTGGACACTGAATGTCGGAAACTCCCCTAAAAGTACTTCTTCAGCCTCAAGGAGCTCACTATCATCATTAAGAAACTGTAAGTAATTAAGTTCGTCCATTTTTGCCTTTGTAAAAAGAATGTTTTGGCAACAAAAAACTTGTACAAAGTTTGCCACACAATATTGCCTTTATTTGTTTTTTGTTTTCCTTCAATTTGATTGGTTACTGTGAATGATCCTTGAAATCTGATTGGTTGTTTTGTTTAAGTGCTACTTTCTCATTGGTTGAAAAAAAGATGCGATTTAGAGCACAAAATAGTGCGATTCGTGAATAAATCACATCACTCTGAGCCAATCAGATTGCAAGGATCACCTGTGATTTCCAAATGGATGTAATAAAAAAAAAGTCAGTCTGTATGTCCATAGACTTAATTAAGTCTTTCAAACAAGGCAATAAACGGTGAAAAAATGTGATATAAACGAGCGGTATTGCACCTCTTTAGTGAGGTGGGGGACCGATGATAGGTGAGGTAACTTGTGGCCAGTCACCCCACCTAACATGTAAACTTGATCAAATTAAAATAATACATTATATGGACAGGCGGGTTACCCCACCTAAGCGGGTTAGCTCACGTACCTGGGGTCCCCCACCTCCATGTAAACAGGTCCTCAGAGTAGAAGGGCTTATTTGAGGGGGGAGAAGAGAGCTTAAAGTATAGCCTAGATATTGGCATTAGATTGGAGGAAATAAGGTATGGAATGGCGCAGTGAGTTCGGCACTGGGTAAAGTTCATTAAACAACAACGAAAGCTTCATTTGCATGACTATATGGAGTTGCAATATTGAAAAATCTTTAAGATAAAGTTAACATTAATACCAATGATCACAATGAAATGATTACGATGGTAAACCAAGTGTCATCAGTATGATTTGATAACAAAAAATTATTAGGTAAATCTTTACATAATGACTCACAAATTTTAACAAAAGCGAATTTAGACAAAACTTCCCTGAATGGATCAATTAAACGAACCACTCTTATTTTGGAGCACTGGAGTTGTTTCTAAATGGGCTCGAGCAGCTAGGCCCCAGACGACCAGACCATACGACAGAAAAGGATAAATAAGACATGCTGAAGTGTTGGAAATAGAGTAAAATGTGAAATGTATGCATATGTTTTTACGTCTTTGGTGAAAAAGGATGCGGCTTGACAACGAAGAGTGGATCAAACAACTAAAACCCCATTTACACGCCCTAAAAAATTCGGCACAGCACTCCCAATTTTCGACGTTTAAACGTATCGGTCCCAAATGTAGTTTGGCACCAGTGCTCAAAATTTTAGGCGTGACGAGACTACCTCCCAGAGGCGTGCCGTGCCGATTTTTTTAGCGCGTGTAAATGGGGGTTAAATCGAAACTCTATCACTTCAATAGTTCGATATTTAGAATTAAGTACGTTATTTTCACGAAATCTAAGAAAATGGGAAAAGTAAGTGCTATGGTTCAATTCCCTTTCCAGACGCCGGTTTGTCAAAACGTAATTTAACCTTCTAAGTCTCTCTTTTTTGTTACTGATTCTCAGAAGTAAAATTGATGGCCATAAAATATTCTACGAAGGTGGCACAACTTAGGTCCCGTTTGTATAAAGAAAACCGTCCTGGGAAAGAGGGCCACCCTCCCAGCCCAGACAGTTTTTTAGCATGTGGTCCGCGTATGAAACGTTCGCAAACGAGTTATCTAGCGAAATTGGTCTCTCTCGCGTACAAACTTTCTCTGCGAACTTCATTCTCCAGCTCAAACGCTTTGCGACACAGGCTAATGAGCATAAGAAAAGTGTTGACCCCTCTGCATAAACCAACAACAATGGCGCATGGTCTGATTATCCAAAAGAGTGCTTTAACACATCCACTTTTTCTCTCGCCTCGACGGCTGGGAGAGCAAGTGTCAA